TATGAACTATCAATTTTTTTAAAAATTAAAAAAATTATCAAATAAATCTGATATGTTAAATTTATATTTTTAAAAAATTGTAAAAAAATGCATACTAATCTTTTAAAATACAGTATTGAATTTTCTATTCATATCGGGTTTTTAAATTGTAGTACCAACTTATTATTATTATTATTTTATTATAAAAATAGGTGAAGGTGTCAACTATAAGTGAGAATTACAAGATTTTTTTATTTGCAATTGATAATAATAATAGTAATAGTAATAATAGATGAATTTTTATTTAGCCTTCTAAAATTATGGATAATAATAATTAGGTGGTCAAGCACATTTGGTACACTGATAGTATTTTACATCTAACTTTTAAGCATTAATTTTTTTTCCTAATTATAACTAGTAATTTTTAGTTAATTACTCACTTTTGACTAATTCTTCCTTTTTCTTTTATCTAATATTCTTTCCGTTTTATATTATAATTAAATTAAAATTTTAAATGAATTAAATAATTAATATAAAATTTGTTTATAATATAAGATGGAGTCATATCTTTTTAAACAATACTGTCCTTTTATAATTAAAATATATAAATTCAATTGTATAATTAATAAACTTAAATTTTTTTTCCGAGATTCATGAAATAACATGAAAGTTTAACAAGAATGACTAATTTACAAAGTTAAATCTATTAGATTGGTGTGTTATATTTAAAAAACAATTATGAAATTTAGTATCAAAGCATCTGCTACATCTATATCAGTAATTTATTATTTATTTTTTATATTTTTGTTTTAATTTTTAGTTTTATTTTTTAAAATTTTATTGATATTAAGTATTGTGAAAAATATTTATTTCCTTAGATATATATAAAAAATGGAATACTTAAATAAAAATTAGTGCATTTAGTGTCCAATATGAATTCAACTTTCAAATACAATTAAAATTGGCTAGTTTTAAGGTCACTCCTCTAATTTTTCATTAATAGCAATTTTTACCTTCTAAATATAATACATGTTAATAATTATTTTTGTTTTTTAGATTATGTAATCTTTTGAAAAACTAAAATATTTTACTTAAAAAAATATCTCCAAATACATCTTAGTTTAGAATTGGCTTTTAGAATTCCATTCTATTTTAAATAATATATTTTTTAAGATTTGAGCATAAAATATTTATTATAGCATTTTATTTTAAAGTAGTAATATTAATGTAATTAATTTTAAAGTGTAATTATCATGAAATTATTTTACACTAAATTTTTTTATTCTTACACCAAATAATTTATTTTAAACTTTGATTAAATAAATCGATAATCGCCTTAAAATTTATATTACAATTTTGTTTCTTATTAACACTTATATCGGTATAAGTGTAAAGGCCCGTTAAAACGGGCAACAGAACTCTCTCAAGATAGACGAGGAGGCGCGTCGCCCATGTAGATACTCTCTAGCCGCTCATTTATTGGGATGACCGCTCATTTCTTGATTGTGTCACCTATTTCTTAAATGACCCGTCCAATGTAAGAATGTGGAGAATGATATGTTTCAATCCACAACAGTGTGAAGAGAGAGTAAAAAAGGAGGTTATGTTTTCTTGAAAATAGGAAATTTATTGTCTACGTCATACGCCTACAAGCGGTTACTACTTCATAGGAGTTTGAGATACAAGCCTAGAGACTTCTATAAATACCTTAGCCTTAGGGTTAAAGTTGAATCCAATTTATCACATAAACAACCCTATAAATCTTTGACAATCCTACACTATAATAGGTTGTCACATATTATACTTTTAACGAGTACAATTTGCATCCACCGCGTGATGATAAAACTGACCTAGCCATACTTATTAGTATTCATCATTACTTTTCACCATACCCCTCAACGGATGGAAAAAACAAAGCTATGAGAATATTGTTGTAAGGGATCTGACCCCACCTTCAGAGATCTGACTACCATAAGGAAATGACTCTCAGGATTGGTTAGAACCAAGTGGACCCCTTTTCTGATTCGATCGACTTTAAGCATAACGTCTCGAATCCATCTCAAGCGGATATTAAAATTTCGGGAACTTCCCCTCCTGGTCGGGGAACCTTATGTAATCTAGAAGCAGAAGATCCGTCCCTCAAACGCATCCAACGGCCATCCGCATCTCATGCCAGTTAGTTAGTGAGTGAGTTATCCAACTCCTCTATATACGTGGATGACGCGATTTCAGGTAAAAAATATTAATACAATTTGAATACTCTCTCTTCACTCACATACTTACTTGAGTGTTAGAGTACTAATCTTGTAGGTACACCCCTCACTCTATCGCATCGAAAGCTCTCCTTAAATGTAGCTTCTGTTACCACATTTATTCCTGGTTCTGGTGTGGAACATGGTGCCGTCTGTAGGAAACGAAACTTGATTCGCTATTTCCGAGTGCATTCCTCTAGCGTGAGATTCTCCTTAACTTCGAACCAGAGGATTCAACAGATCAAAGGAAATTCAATTGTGATCGATAACATTGAATTTAACACTGATTCTCTAAATCTTCATTGCTCAGTACCTTAGAACATCATTGATCCGTAGAAATGGCTAGATCGAGAACTACTCGTTTCGTCACTGCGCGATAAGCCGTCTTTGAAACTGCTAGCGTGACATCACCAACCACCAATCGACCAAATGTCACTCCTACCGCTAGCGAAGCAAGCCTCAATATCAACACTCTTCATCAATCAAATGTGATTCTCCCTCTACCGCATGTGGGAACAATCCAAACACCACTGCTTTGAGTTTTGTCTCCAAATCCTACGAATCGACCTGAGATCTCGTGAGGTTTTAGAATTCTTGAGGAAAACCTCGGATCCCAAAGCGTGAACAAGTTGATCAATGAAATTTATAACATCGTTCAACAATAAAACTCTAAGGTGATAGAAGAAAGGTTCCTTCGCTTAGAGGAAAGCCTTGGGCACGTTCAACCTCGGGAAAATACAGTACAATAAGCCGATTTGAGAAAAAATCGGACTAGACGACTAGATCCGTCCGCAGCAAAAGAAGAAGTAAAATTCGAAAAATTGAAAGAATGCTCTGAAGGCAACAAACATAATTCTTCCCATAAGAGTCTGGGAGGAGACCAGGGGAGTTACGATATATCCTCGGACCGTGATGAGCGCCAACCAAATCGAAAGCAATCTAAACATCCTTTATGTGCTCAGATCTTGGATAGAAAAATCCCTAAATCCATGAAAAAACCTCATAAATTGGATGAATACAACAAAATGGTTGATCTAAACGAGCACATGCAACTTATCAACAACTGACTTAACTATTATTATGCCGATGATGCTTTCAAATGTAAGCTATTGGCATTCACCTCAGAAAGTTTTTTCCAAGATGTTTTATGCTTCCTTCGATGAGTCTACATCACCAACTTGCTCAAAGTTTTATGGATCAATGCATTGATGGATTATAAAGAGATCTTTATAATCTTTCTTTCTAAATATTTATGTGCAGTCTTTTTTCATTCGTGGAATTGACGTCAATGGGTGTTACTCCGTCATTCAAAAGCTCCCAAACATCTTGATAGCAGAAGACAACCTTCATATGCTTACACCAATTTTAATAATTCTTGTCACTAAAGATGGAAAGGTTTGTTGGAAAATGTTCGTTTGAATGAGAAGTCATTGTTCTATGCTTTCCAAGAATCGCAGCCAGTGCTCTAGATACCAGATGTTGGAATTAATTTTGATAAAACAAGATTCAACCACTTTCTTAATTGATCCAATATTCTCGTTTTTCACTCTTCGCTCGAGTGATTCAACCACTTTCTTAATTGATCCAATATTCTCGTTTTTCACTCTTCGCTCGAGTGATTCAACCACATCTTAGTTGCAAGATGATTCCCTCGCACAACGATTTGAAAAGAAAGATAATTTTAAAGTAATGAGGGAGAAAATAGAATTGAGAGAAGTACGAGTTATTGAAGTGAAAAGGGAAAAGTTTGATTGATCAATCTGTCAATAATAAGTCTCTCTCTCTCTCTCTCTCTCTCTCTCTCTCTCTCTCTCTCTCTCTCTCTCTCTCTCTCTCTCTCTCTCTCTCTCTCTCTCTCTCTCTCTCTCTCTCTCTCTCTCTCTCTCTCTCTCTCTCTCTCTCTCTCTCTCTCTCTATATATATATATATATATATATATATATATATATATATATATATATATATATATATATATATATATATATATATATATATATATATATATATATATATATTGTATTAAGTACAAATTCAGAGTACCTCCCTATTTATAATGAGATTGCTTGCATATCAAACGATCTCAAACTAACTAACTAATTTCAACAAACATGTATTCGACTCTGTTGAATACATATTGCTTCGACCACGACTAGTTGTATTTAACTCTATGTTGAATTCATGCACCTTTGTCTACTATAAGTTGTATTCGACCTTCTATCAGATACATGCAAATTCAAATATTACAAACTATATTCGATTACTTCTCTAACGACTATATTCGACTTTAATTCTATCGAATCATGTAACATACAAACATTGCTTAATACAAAAAATTACATATTTAATAAATAATTCGTCAAACCGTTTTAGATAAAATTAAAATGATTTATTCGATTTAAGAAAACTTAACTTAGTTAGATGCAAATTTAGTGAAAAACATCACATGACAACACGTTCCAAGGTACCAACCCATTCTGGCATTCTTACTTTAACCGACAATAATAGTTACAACTTTCCCTTCAATTATTCAATTTTTGTTACACATTGGGATTGTTTTTCCAAAATCTCAACTACGCATTTATTTCATTCAGATGACCAAAACTCAGTAAATTTACCTCAAATTCTAAATCTACCTTGCTAATGACATGGCATGTTGACACTACAGAACAACACAGTGTGAGTCATCATAATGTCAAAAGAGAACTCAATCATCTACTAATGTTCACTTCTTACCCTTTAGTGTAGCTAGAGAATAGATACATCACAGAAATGAATGGTTATTCAAAGATTGGTAGCACTACTACTACTACGACGAACCACAAATCAAGATCTGTAGATTTTTCAGATATTTTCTCATTTTCTCAAACACCTAAACCAATCGGAAACAGTACTGCTACTGTTGTTCCTTCAGTGAATGAAGGAGAGAAATTTGGAGTGATATTAGGTAGGAGCTGTTCGGTTTCTTCTTCGTCTTCTTCTGCATCTGGGTTTCAGGCAACACTGAAGAGAGCATTCTCGGGAAGAAGATGTTCGTCAGTCTCAGAGAGGTACTGTAGGATCCATGATCAGAACATGGTAATAGCATCAGATGAGTTTATCAAAGAGGATGCTCATGATTTACCCAACAAGAAAAAGCAGAGAGGAGGCAAGATTCTTAAAGTCTGTAAGCGATTGTTTGGATTCTAGTAATTCTATTGTTATTATTATTGTAATCTTGAATAATGAGATTTAAAACAATGCTCTTTTTTCAAAAGTTGCTTATAAAAAGCAAAAGTAGATTTTATGGTGCTTTAGAAAACCCTCAAGTGGGGGTCTAGTAGTCGTATTGGTTCTAAGGGATGTAATGATTCATCTTTAAGGATCCAGCATCCATATTACCTCTAACAGCGGTAAAAATTTCTCTTTGAGGATCCAATTCATATTTCCTTTAAGAGCGGTAAGAATTCTTCTTTGAGGATCCAATTTATATTTTCTTTAAGAGAGGCAAGATTTTCTCTTTGAGGATCCAACATTCATATTTTTTTTTAAGGGTGACAAGAATTCCTCTTTAAGAATCTAATATTCATATAGCCTCTAAGAGCGACAAAAAAAATTCTTTAAGAATTCGACATTTGTATTGCCTCTAAGAGAAATAAGAATTTCTTTTTGAAGATCCAACATTGATCCATTTTATTGGAAGATGCTAACAATTTTTTTAAAGAAGTTCATACATTGACGAACCAAATGTCTCTCGCCTTATTGAATAGAAAACATTAAATGACTAACTATAATAGGTTAACTGAGTTCCATGTTCTAGGGATGAGTCTTCCATCCCGCTTTTCGAGTTTGGAATCTCCATGAGATAACATTTGACATGCGTGGTATGGACCTTCCTAGTTAGGTTGTAATTTCCCCAAATGAGTTGGTACAAAAATTTGCTTGAGCACGAGGTCGCCCTCCTGCATTTCCCTTGGGACTACTTTGAAATTGTACCTTTTGGTGGCCTTTTGTTTGGTGGTGAATTCTTTAATATAGGCGTTATCTCAGGTTTTGTCAGTCATGTCGGATGTGTTAGCTCGTAATTTTGACACCTAGGTTGAATTAGTGGAATAAATACGCAAAGAGAATTTCTGTGAAGTTATGATGGACTTCGGCAGGACAGTGTAATTATGGAAGTCGAAGTTACCCTTGTGCAAGAAGGAAGGGTTGTTGGACTTAGGAAAATTTTCTAAGTTTGAAGATGTAATTCAACGAAGACGCTACTGATGGTGTCTTCGATTTGAAGTTTGAATTTTAATAAAGGAGAGAACTTTGTTCTTATCCAGTTTCAAGAGAAGACACGTGTAACACGTTAACGAAATGAAGACATGTCGAGCGCCACTTGTCTTGATTTAGGAGAAAGACCGTTAAAGACAGTTATTTCGATTTAATATAAATAAAAAGCCTTAGTGTTAGGATTGAGTGTGTGTGATCAAGTTTGTACAAGTCACTCAAATTACTCAAAGTATCCAGTGTGTAGAGAAAATGGTTATTGAGAAATGTACGTCTGATAAAACGCCATTTTCTTACATTTTAATCCAATTCAGTTTATGCTTTTGCCTAGAAATTTATCTTATTTATTTACACAAGTTACTTTTAACACATTTTATTGCAATTTCGATTACTTTTCTACAACGTAATTTCTTTTACATTTTTGAAGTAACTACTTTCAAATCATGAATATTGTTAAAGTGTTCATTATTTCTCAAACTTTAATTTAAAAAGCATTAGCACATGCCATATGATTCACCGGTTGATCCTGTAAGTTAACCAATATTTGGAGACCAACGGTTGTTTACCAATTTTCATGGTAAACAAATTGGCACGCCCAGTGGAACAATGCTAGTGACATTTTAAAACATTTTTTCTTTTGAAAATTTTACTAAGTTCTTCATTTTTGTTGTCTTTCTCTTCATAAACTCTGTTGTATGTTATTAAGAAGTGGTAAAGTAGCCACCACTAATGAAGATAGACCAAGAAGAAGATACACGAGGAAAATGGCAAACCAAAATCAGCCAAACAATTCAAATCCTCAAAATACGTCAAATAAAAATGGAGAACCTACCCCAACGTCTTCGACATGGGGAACAACGGTCTCGTCACATTTTTCTGAACTGATATCGTCCATGGCAAGTTCAATGCCTACATAGTCGATTGCCCATAGTGATCCATTTTTACTTATGTTGGGCCAAGGGTCCTCTAGTAACCCCCCGCCCATAGGGAACGGTTCGAAAACAACCATATGGAATGCCAACATCCGTGATGACGAACTTACATAACATTGGGTCAATGTTCCCAGAACCCGTAATGAATGTAACTTCACCATTACATGGGTCAGGGTCTAGGATTAATAATATGGGTCGAAATGGACAACCATTAGGGATAAGTTTTTCCACCCAAATTCCAGGCTTAACCAATAGTTCTACAGCGGTTATTAGGCAGCAAATGGATGAGAGTAACCATGAAATAGTCCAGATGCTCGCCGAAACAATGGGGACAATATTTAATCCTCTAATACAAAACACTACCTAAGCCAACCAACAAATGGTCGCGCAAATGACGTGCATTGCGGACCTTTTTGGTGTACCACAGCCTCCTCGACACCCTTAGAGGGAGTATATGGTGGAAAATCAAGGGGTAGCCTTTGGAGAGGATGTCACTATTAACCAGAAAATACTGAAACAAACCATGACATTCAATTTGTGCCTGACACATGATATTGACAATAACAACATGTCTCTTAGACCAGCTATAGCCAAACATACACCTCATTATCTTTCAGATTATGTGTGCAATACATCTGATGCATCAGCAGGCAAGTCATCCTCAGGTACAAACAAAATTCTCTATCTTATTTCATATTATGATTTATTACATTTTCTGTCTGCATCTCATCAAGTTTTTGCATCCAATATCACTCTTACACATGAGCCAAAGAACTACAAAGAAGCATGTTTGTCTGAACATTGGATCAAGGCCATGAAGTCTGAATTAGATGCATTAGACAAGAATAGAACTTGGAATATTGTTGATTTGCCACCACATATCAAACCAATTGGTAACAGATGGGTGTTTAAAGTAAAGCATAGAGCAAATGGCACAATAGAGAGGTATAAAGCTCGGCTTGTTGCCAAGGGCTACAACCAAATTGAAGGGCTTGATTTCTTTGATACTTTTTCACCTGTAGCAAAGCTTACAACTGTTAGAACTCTTCTTGCGACTGTAGCCATCAATAATTGGTTCTTACATCAACTTGATGTTAACAATGCTTTTTTGCATGGGGAATTGAAGTAAGATGTGTACATGATCATACCTGAAGGTGTTTCATGTCAAAGGCCCAATCAAGTGTGTAAACTTCAAAAGAGTTTATATGGTCTGAAACAAGCTAGTCGCAAATGGTATGAAAAGCTGACATCCCTTTTACTCCAGCAGGGGTATACTCAATCTACTTCTGATTATTCCCTTTTCACTTTGAAAACCGATGCACACTTTACAACCATTTTAGTCTATGCCGATGATATAATCCTAGATGGAACTTCTATGTTTGAATTTGATCGTATCAAATGCATTTTAGATGAAAGATTTAGCATCAAAGACTTGGGAATACTTAAATATTTTCTTGGCCTCGAGGTTGCCCATTCAAAAGTTGGGATTTCACTATCACAACGAAAATATTGTCTTGATCTATTGCAAGAATCTGGTCTGCTAGGACCCAAACCAGCCCCCACCCATCTTGATCCATCAGTTAAGTTACATGCTGATAGTGGAAAAGCTTTTGAAGACATTGGAGCTTATAGACGTTTAATAGTTCGTCTGTTGTACCTTAACACCACACGCCGAGACATTACCTATGCCACTCAGCAACTCAGCCAGTTTCTGCACAATCCAACAATGGCACACTACCACTTTGCTTGTAGAGTCATACGCTACTTGAAGAACAGCCTTGGCAGCGAAATTCTGTTTCGCAGAAATGCTGAGCTACAACTTCTTGGCTTCTCAGATTTTGATTGGGCAGGGTGCATTGATTCAAGGAAGTCTATTTCAGGATATTGTTTTTTCCTTGGTACTTCTCTCATATCATGGCGTGCAAAGAAACAAAACACTATTTCCAGATCATCATCAGAAGCTGAGTATCGAGCACTGTCATTTGCCACATGTGAATTACTTTGGTTGATAGCTCTTATGAAGGAACTGCGCATCAAGTGTACCAAGCTTCCTGTTCTTTACTGTGACAACCAAAGTGCGATGCATATTGCACTCAATCTGGTATTTCATGAACGAACCAAACATCTTGAGATCGATTGCCATTTGGTCCGTGAAAAACTACCGCAAGGATTACTGTGACTCCTACCAATCTCCACCCATGAACAACTTGTTGATTTTCTAACTAAAGCATTATCAACTTCAACTTTCAACAAGTTTATTTCCAAGCTTGGCATGATCAACATTCACTGTGATTAGCTTGAGAGGGACTGTTAAGATTAGTTATTCTAATTATTAAAATAGATTAGTTGATCATTATAGTTGATAAAATAATTGTTAGTTAGGTAGTTACTAGTTAGTTAGATTGGTTGTTATGTGATAAGAGTGATCTATATAAAAGTTGTAATATCACACGTGAAGATTAAAACAAAGTTTTGCTCTCTTCTTCAAGTATTCATATCTTCTTTTCATCTTGTTATTTCTTCTTCAATGGAAGAATAACTCTATCATAATAGGGAGCATGCCCCCTCACAAGGCAGTCAACAACTAGATTCACATTTTTCCTTGGAGACAACCTGGTGTGCTGGAAATCAAAGAAACAAATTGTTATTTTCCGTTCATCTTCCGAAGCAGAGTATCACGCCTTGGCCAACACTTCTTGTGAAGCCCAATGGCTCCTCTACCTTTTGCATGACTTCAACATCTCTCATACTCAGCCTGTTAACATTTACTACGACAACCAAAGCGCCATCCACATAGCTACAAATATGTGTCTCACGAACGCACAAAGCATATTGAAATGGACTGCCACCTGATCCGCGACAAGATTCAATCAAAAACTATCCATCTCATGCCTATCAATTTGTAATTCTGACAATCAAATCGTCGATTTATTCACTAAACAGCTTCACTTAAAACCCTTTCATAACCTGTTTTCAAAACTTCGAATGCTCTACATACATTTTCAAGGGGAGGTTAAATCTTAATGTATGTTATTTTTTAGCCCAATACATTCCAGTTTTAGTGGAGACCTATATATCTCAACTTTGTATCTCTTTGAAGGAATGAAAATATTATTCAAATTGTTCATTTAATTCTTTCTCTCATGCATCCGCCATCAAATGGCAATATTAACGAACAAGAGGGACCAAAAATATAGATAAAACATATTAAAAAAATTATCTTTGAAGAAAAAAAGTTTAAGGACTAAAAATGAAATTTAAAATATTTAAGAGATGCCATATTTAACTCACATATTCAAAAATATTGGGATGAGTTCGAGTGATCTATAATTCTGAATTGGACTTACAACAACGCTAGAGACTACGCATCAGTTACAACCTACTACAAATTAACTGTCCGTGATAAGTCGAAGGCTAAAATAGTAAAATGAAAAAGATATATGATTTTCCACAATAAGTTAACTGTCCGTTCAATTTTGGAAGGGGGGAGTTGTTAAAAGTTGAATTCAGAAGAAAAAACAGAGAAAATAGAATAGAAATATACTAATAATAAATAGGAAAAAGCGAAAGCAAAGAAATAGCATAACTAAATTTAATCCATTCCTATGATCTTTATCTAATTTATCTATCTATATCCTTTTCTTTCACCCCAAAATCACTCTCCATTTTTACAAGGAAGAAAAAACAACAATACATGGAGAAAACGGAGGATGAATCTCCCAGGAATAAAGTCAAATTCCTTTGCAGTTATGGTGGAAAGGTTCTTCCACGGCCCTCCGATGGAGTCCTTAAGTATGTAGGCGGAGAGACTCGCGTCATATGTATCCCCCGCGACGCAACTTTCGCAGGTATGATTATTCTATTCTATTAGAATTCAAAAGAAACTAATGATTATAATGATATAATGTAATAATGTATGTAATCAGATATGATGAAGAAGGTGAGTGGGGTGGTTGATGGCGAGGTGGTGTTGAAGTACCAGGTGATTCCTGAAGAACTTGATACATTGGTGTCTGTTAGGACAGAAGATGATTTGAAGCACATGATTATGGAACTTGATCGGCATGAGAGTAGTGGATCATCATTGCTTCGCGCATTTCTGTTCCCTTTGAAGCCAATGATAGTTGACAGCCCGAGTCAAATGCAAATGCAACAACCACATCCACTTCCTATTGAACCGTATTTCTTGGAACAGCGTTACCTTGATGCCATCAACGGTATCATACGACCAAGCCCCGGCTCTAAATGTGCCGCTTGCTCTGCTTGTTCTTCGCCGAGACCAAGCCCCGGCTCTAAATGTGCCGCTTGCTCTGCATGTTCTTCGCCGAAATCAACCTCTCCAGACGGATGCACCACCGGGGAATCGCCGTTCCAACACCAAGGTATGCAGCAGTTACAGAAGGGTATGGCTTCAATGCAGAGAGTGAGAAGCTCTCCAAGTTTATCCAGCCTTACAAGCAGCTACAATAATACACAACCGTTACAGCAGCAGCAGCAGCAGCATAATCAGGGTATTAGTAGAAGTAGGAGTAGTCATTATCAACACCAGCACCACCCTCTTGTTGGTGGACTTAGACCAATACATGAAGTAGGGATTGGAATGGGAATAGGAAGGTTATCTCCATCTCAGATGAGTATGAACATGATGCCAGATAATATTAGTAGCAGTAGCAGCAGCAGGGGTATGAATTACTATTACTCCAATGCAAACAGACCCTATAAAGCTTATGCATACCATGATGATTCAGTTGGTCATGTTGTTCAGTCAGTCCCCCGGAGTCCCAGAATGTAACTTAGGTGAATGACTATCACTTCATTCCTCTCCCCCTCTTTTCTCAGCTACATTTTTTCATTCAGTAGGTATATATGTACATTAGAACCAAAGCGTGTAAATCAGTAATCAGTAATTGTACATAAAGAGACTTTCATTTTATTTGCTTCCATACTAGTAATTAACAAATTCCTAGAGTATTAGACTGATGACCTCTGCTATTATCATTATTGGGTGTTTAAGTATTGGTTGCTTGCGTTGGAACCTATGAGGATCTATAAAAAGTAACAACGATGACAATACTTAGGGGTTTAATTTGTCTACCTAATGTTGTATCATTTCTGATTGACATGCAGACGATCATGTTTTAGGAAAGCAAAAACTAGTGTCATTTCACCTGAAATATGCAGGGCTTTATCTTCTTAGGTTCAGGCAAATTTATCTTATTTTTTCTTATATCAAATTACAACATCTTCAGCCTGTAAACTCCATCCACAATACATGTAATTCAGACAAAATTTCCAAAAGATACACAGAAACGTGTGCGTCAATGAGCACCTATAATAAATAAATCAAGTCTACTAATTATATTAAGATAAATCCGCTCGCACTCAATTGACAAAAATCCCTAAAAATTTAGCACAGGAAAAGCATAAAATAAAAATAAACCCTATTCAATAATCTCTATGAACTCATTTAGAGTCGGTAAAATCTGCATCAATCACATCTCCTTCAGGTCCCTTGCCTGACGATTCTGAGGGGCCAGACTCACTACCAGGTGGTGTAGGTCCTGCTTGGCCTGCAGCTCCAGGTTGGTTATATAGAGACTGACCAAGCTGCATAACTTCCTGGTTGAGGGCAGCCAAGGCATCTTTAATAGTTTGAGTTGAACCACCGGTAATAGCTTCTTTAAGTTCTCCCAATTTAGCTTCCACCTTCTCTTTAACAGGGGCAGGAACCTTCTCTCCCAACTCTTTCAATTGCTTCTCAGTCTGATAGACAACAGAGTCCGCCTGGTTCTTGGTGTCTATTGCTTCCCTCTTTTCTTTGTCCTCTTTTGAAAATCTCTCTGCCTCGCTGACCATTCTCTCAACCTGCAAATCATTCAAGAGATAAGCATCAGAACTGTTTTCCGTTATAATCATATATGGAGGAATCATTCACAAAATCATCTAATGATAATAGAAAATACCTCATCACCAGGCAAAGTGCTGGCACCAGTAATGGTAATATCTTGTTTCTTCCCTGTGCCCTTGTCTATGGCGGCAACCGATAGAATACCATTTGCATCAATGTCAAATTTCACCTCAATTTGAGGAACCCCGCGAGGAGCAGGAGGGATACCATCCAAGCGGAAGCTACCAAGAGATTTGTTGTCCCTTACAAATTCTCTCTCACCCTGAAGGACATTGATTTCTACACTTGTCTGCCCATCAGCAGCAGTAGAGAAAACCTCTGATTTTGAGGTGGGAAGGGTAGTGTTTCTTGGAATAATCTTGGTCATCACACCACCAAGAGTTTCCAAACCCAATGACAGTGGAGAAACATCCAACAGCACAATGTCACTGACATCTCCAGCCAAGACACCAGCCTAAAATCAATCAAAATTAAACATGAGGATAGTGATAATAATAATAATAATCAACAATTAAAACATAGTATTTCAATAGCACTCCAATCAAACAAACATTCTTGCTTCACTACGGCTTAACTTAAATTGGAAAAACTGCAAGATTGTACGGTGAGAAATGCTAGCCCTACCTGAACAGCAGCTCCAAGGGCAACCACTTCATCTGGATTAACAGTGACATTTGGGTCCTTCCCAATCAGCTTCTTTACAAGCTCCTGAACAGCAGGAATACGCGTTGATCCACCAACAAGAATCACCTCATCAATATCTTTAATTGAGAGCTTTGCATCTCTCAATGAATTTTCCACTGGTGTTCTAAGTCTGAAACACAATTCATACAAATATCACTATATATGAATAGTTTAAGCTAGAATATATTTGGTAACAATCAAGCCCGGAGACAGGGTATTTTAAATTCAAGGGTTAAAATAGATTCGATAAGCTATCGTTACCTGTCAAGAAGATCTGAACACAATTCTTCAAATTTAGCCCTTGTAAGAGTGGTCTCAATATGTTTGGGGCCATCTGCTGTGGCAGTTATGAATGGCAAACTGAAAACAAAAATACCAATAGCTCAGTAATTCACATAAAGATTACAAGGCACACTCAGAAAACTACAAGAATTGGGTGCAAATTGCTCCATGACGAAGTAAATACCTGATGTTTGTTTGAGTCAATGATGAAAGCTCCATTTTTGCCTTCTCAGCTGTCTCAGTAAGACGCTGAAGAGCTTGTTTGTCTTTCAAAAGGTCTATACCTTCATCTCTCTTGAAGTCACCGGCCAGCCAATCAACAACTCTCTATAACCAACAGATGAAAATAAGAAACAAAATGTTCAGCACCACGTTAACCAACTTATAATAATTAACAATACAAACAGTAAGGAAGACCAAGTCCAACCTTATCAAAATCATCACCACCCAAGTGTGTATCACCAGAAGTAGACAGCACCTCAAACACTCCGTCGCCAACCTCAAGCACTGAAACAAAATCAAATACCAATAAGCATACATGTCTCAAACCCTATCAAATCAAAAACCTTAAAGAGATGCTTCCAATACCTGAGACATCAAAAGTACCACCTCCAAGGTCAAATACCAAAATAGTTTCATTGTTTTTCCTTTCAAAACCATAAGCCAAGGATGCAGCAGTTGGTTCATTGATAATTCTAAGAACTTCAAGACCAGCTATCCTTCCAGCATCCTTTGTAGCAGTTCTTTGTGAATCATTGAAGTACGCAGGCACAGTAACCACAGCCTTAGTTACTTTATCATTCAAAAACTTTGAAGCATCATCAACAAGCTTCCTCAAAACCTATATAAACATTTCAGATATCATTAAATACATATATAACATAACTAACCTAAGAACATAACATACGAAAAACAATTCATGAGAAAGCAGAAATGAAAACTACCTGAGCGGAAATTTCTTCAGCTGCAAAAGATTTACCAATAGCAGGACAATCAAGTTTAACGTTGCCGTTATCGTCTCTGATAACTTTGTAAGAAACCTGCTTTGACTCTTCATCAACTTCAGACATCTTCCTTCCAATAAACCTCTTGACGGAGAAAAAAGTGTTCTCGGGATTCACAACAGCCTGCCGCTTCGCAATTTGACCGACCAACCTATCACCGTTCTTGGTGTACGCAACCACAGACGGCGTGGTTCGCTGACCTTCAGCGTTAGTAATAATAGTAGGTTTTCCACCTTCCATGGCGGCGACGGCGGAATTGGTGGTTCCCAAATCGATACCGACGACTTTCTCGCTGACAACTCTCAAAGTGAAACCCTTCTTAAAAGTTTTGCTACTCAATTTAGGGAATGCGGCGCGGGAGAAGGAAGAGTGGTTGGAATTGAGTCGCTGACCGAAGAATAGGGTTTTGGAATTACCGGAAATGGAAGAGGGTTTTTTGAGTGAAAAGAAAGAAGTGGTTCCGAGACCGTGTATTTGAGCAGAGGAAGCCATGAGTGAAGAGATAAGATGAAACCCTAACCCTAATTTGGTAGGAAGTAGAGTGGATGAGGGTGAGAAGAGAGAGGGTAACTAGTAAGTAACGAAAAATGAAGGAAGAAAATGGGTTTATGAAAGTAGGGGAGGATGAGGGTTGGTTTATAATGTCATTTGTGGTTACACGTATTCTAGAATCATCTCATGCTTTCTGGTTCGTTTGTAACCCTTAGATTAAATTATAATCCATGGTCCTTGTTTGGTGGTCTAATCTAGAGGGCAATTTGTTTCTTGTTCCATCACACAATATTATTTGTCAAATAATTAAACTATTTTTCATTTATTTTGTACTCAAAATATTATTTATTAATTAATGAATTTAATTGTTGACCGGGTAAAATTATTTTACACGGTCAATCAATCACACATCCTGCCACATTAGATGGTAAATTTTAAGTTAACTATATGACATGATAGATTAATATATTTTTATGGAATGAGAGTATAAAATTATTTTATACTGTCAATGCATATCAATTAAACTCTTAATTAATAATAATAAAATAATTAATATTATTTATATCTATTAGTAGTATATCCTTATTTTTTTTAAAATTTCCTTGCTAAACGGTACGACAAAGATAGTCTTGTATTTGAAGGATTATCGATAATGTTTAGGGTTGTTTATAGTGTTTAAGGTTTATTCATGCAGGGGAATGAGAAGTTATGTATATAACTTTTTGGAAGAAAAATTAAATTCTCTTTCAACTCTCGGATTAAGATATTTATATAGGTTTTTTTGGTCTAGATTAGAGAGTGGTGTGTCCTAACTCCACGACAGGAAAATGTGGCATATAATAAATTCCTTGAAATCTAGGGAGGCGGTTATCTTTCCTTGAGTGAGTTTTAACTGATTGCTACTTAAACATATCCTTTTTCATGTTTATTGAGTAAATGGACAATGGGAGTTTACTATCAAATGAAATACAAGATTAAACTATCAAATAAAAGGTTAAACTATCAAATGAAATGTTTTTGGAAATGTTTGTTGAAGAGTGTGAAATTTCTTCTGATATTCTCAACAGAAAAATGGGAGTAATCTTTGATAAGTATTTGAAAATGATTTCCTATGTTTATAAGAATATACAGGCATCAAATCCAAGTGTTCAATTGTTCTCTCCTCCTCCTCAACAAATTCCAACTAATGGTCCTTCAAAGCAACTTAGGTGAAAATAAAAAATATTTTAGAGAGAGAGATAAATTCTGAAGAAATATAAAGCTTTAGAATTTTTGTGTGAAATGAGGAGGACAAATGCCTCCTTTATATAGGAGATTATAAAACTAAAAAAGGAAATGATACATGGGCGATTTTAATGGTCCAGTCGATTTGCTTAAGGTCCTAGTTGATTGGATGACCTAAAAAGTTGATTATCTTAGCTCATTTTGTAAAGTTCGGATAAAAAATCGTGTTTAATCATTAAAACAATGTCATACTCAATTATATAATTATTTTTCTCTCTTCCAATCGTTTATCTTAAGGTCTCAATCAACTTGATAATTCAAAAAATATGTGTGTGTGTCTGTGTCTGTGTGTTTTTTGCCTTAGTATATTGGGAGTTACTCTCTTACTTTCACAAAACTCTAGTCACTCGGACAGACACAACAATGCGAGATTTCATACTTTCTCTTTTTCATAATGCTGAGGCTTTCAAGATTCTTTGCTAGATACATTGATCATATAAGCATTTCTATGGAATATTTAGTCTTATACTAGATGAGGCTTCAAATGTTTCCAACTTGGTCACTTCAAAAGTCATTGGTGTTGTCATCATCAAAACTTTAGGAAAAATCTCAATAGGATCATTAACTTCATATTTGTAAGCACATAGATCCACAACAACCTTAATAGAACTCTCGTGCTAGATTTCTCTATCTAGGTCAACCACAGTAGTCTAGTGGAACTTCAAACCAAAGGGGAATTATTTTACTTAGTTTAACGGTAGAAGTGGAATGATCTTAGTGGAAAGAAGGTTTTACATGGTCCTTTGAAATCAATCTTGAATATTCGATTGTATCAACATGGCAGTAATTGATATGCCAAGGATCCAATCTGATAATTTCCTTGTCAACTTTGAGCTTTTCTTCAATGTTGTTAGAAACCTCTCTCGGTTTAGGTTTCTTAAGGTGTGGTCACTACATTCAGAGGCTTACAGTTTCATTAGACAACATATCCATAGTCGGCTTCCCCGTGTACATTTTGAACAAGAAATTGTAAACTCTCAAATATAAGCTTAGAATGTGGAACAATTAACTATTTGGGAATATTCATAACTTAGTCAAAGATGCTACCACAAAGTTAACGGAGATTCATGTCTCATCCAGCTCGAGGGAGCTACTCATGCAGTATTAATATAGGAAAAATGTCTTGTTTGAGTTGGACAAAGCTTTGGATAAGGAAGAGGCATTCTAGTCGGAAAATTCAAGGGTTAAGTGGCACATTTTAGGAGACGATAATGCTTATTTATTCTACATAAAAGATAAAAAGTTATAAAGACATGATCACTTTGCTTAAAAATACCTTATCATTGACCCTTAACTCATTGCAGACCATGCAGTGGCCGACTTTACCAACTTGTTTGGTGTCGTAGTTGCATGAGCAAGATTTTTCCATTATTGATGAGGTCATCTCCAATCTCTTAGATGGGGGAATGAATAATATATTGACAATCACTCCTTCCATGGAGGAATTTTCATCTGTTGTTTTTAATCTCAACAAAAATAGTTCTCCAAGCCCATATGGTTTCTGTTCTGGACTGGCTCAATGACTAGGCATGGCCCAATCCAATTTTGCACTCAGAACATCCCAATAACCTAGGTCCTGCTATTTTAGGGCAGAGGAAAGCACTTTCTCTCCTGCCCCTCAGCTGAGGAGATTTGGCCAGTTGACCCCCAGGATCAGCTTCCCTTTGTTACATTTCTGCCCGTCACGCACAGTTCATCCATTCAGGAACGGTTACAACGTCCTTGCCCGGAACCACGCCCATGCTCGAAGCAATGGCTAGTTCCGAGCATGTATGCCTGTTTCAACGGCTAGTTTCTGAAAGTTACCTATTTTTGGGGAGAAAATATCTCGTCCCAAAAATAGGGACCAATGGCCAAGAGGTGAGGGAATTATAAAAACCCTCTCCTTTGAGAGAGTCAGATATTCAATATTCAATCCAATAATCATCCTAAGAAAAACTTACTTTGTACTTGCTTTCTCATCTCCCGATTCTTACTTTAGCATCGGAGTGTCTTGCAGGTACACCCTTTCCTCCTTGATTCAAACATCGTAGATGAAGTTTCTGGCCCACTTCAGGTTCTGATCAACCGTCAAGATCAGCGGCACCATCTGTGGGAACTTTTGTTTTCCCCATCTTTATTTCCCTGTAAACCAATGATTAAAGTAGGTTTCAAAGATTTTGATCATGGCCAACTGTGATAACGTCCACGATGCTCGCAACACCTTCATTCCCCCTGTCAGCAAGACATACAACGACGGAGTGAACCCCTTTCTTGGAGACAATATTCCTCAGCAGAGGGACGGAGTCATCACCTTTCCTTCCCCGGATCGCAACAACAACGCAGAGGTCCGACACTTAGTGGACCACCAGCTTGTCCCAATTTCGCCCAACGCCGACCCGACCATGGCAGCTCTGGTCAAAGCCCTCAACAAAACGAACCTTCTGATCCTTTATCAGAACGCAAGAATTAGAGCATTGGAAGAAGTTTGTCGTCCAAGATTTCTTTCACCAAGGCTTAAACACTATTGGTCCCGAAGCTCTTCTCCTCGACACAAAAGGAATCGTCATATCCCAGCAGAGCCAGAACCCCTGCCAGTCAAGAAACATGATTATACTCCTCCCTAGAGCCAGCACTCCTTAGGGGCCAAGAGAGCAAGAAGAGACTTGTGGGAAGAAGACCGACATTCACCCCCATTTAGACCTAAGGGTCGGTCGCAAACGTTTTCTCCCCGTAGGGATCACGGTCCTCACCCCAACAGAGACGCCCACTCACGTTCGCGGTCGAGCAGTTACAGTGACGACGAAGAGCCTCGAGGCCCATTATCGTAGGAGATCATGGCACAATAGATCCTAACAAGCACATCGAAAACATCGATGCCCTGCTCGACTACCGCGACATCCGAGGCGCCATCAAATGCAATTTATTCTCGAAAACACTGAGGAAGGAAGCAATATCCTGGTACAAGAGTCTCCCCTAAGAATCCATCACCTCGTAGAGGTAGTTGGGGAGGATGTTCTCGAGACATTTCACAGCCTCTCGTCGTCACCTAAAGACAGAAGTCTCCCTCGAGGCTATCATCCAGGGAAGGGATGATTCTCTTAGAACACACATCGAAAGGTTCAACAAATAAGTCATTCAGGTCCCCACTGTCGCAACTTCAAAAAGGGCCGGCAGAAACAAACAGAAGAGTCGCCACGAAACGTCATTTATCCCAAAGAGAGGGAAAAGAAACGATCGAAGAAAACCTAAAGGAATGGGAAAAGACAAGGTCATCGCAACCAAATCTTGGGTTCGGGAGTCGATTATGCAAGGGGAAGGTATGAGCACCCCTCACGTATGTTGTACTCAACGAGATTCATGCTTGTTGTCGAATCAAAGGGTAAGTTATGTAAACGCTACTGCTAAACCGGGGGTGGAAAGGAAAGAAGATACTCGATAGGACATCATCGCCCTATGCCTACGTATTCCCTCGTGCAATGGAAAAGTCAGAGTCAGCATATTTCGGGAAACTATGGGTGATAGGGGGAAGGTTGCTCGCCAAGACATCGTCGTCTTGTGCCTACGTATCCTCATCAGGTATGGGAAATTATAGCAAACGTAGTTTGGGTAAACTAGACCGCTGGTTGGTTAAGTGTTTTTATGAGTGACGTTAAGTCCCCATTCCGGCAGTTAGGGTCGATGCCTGTTTGTGACAGAACGGTAAGTAACATACTCTTTTCTGAAAATAAATTTGA